AACTAACAACAGAATAAACAAACCCTCCCTCCCTGATGATGTCCAGTGTTGATGTCAAAGTTACCCTAGTATCCTGAAGAACTATCAGCTTTACACCACCTTTTCATTAGAAATTTAATGGATTTCATTAGCATATACTGTTTGAGAGAAGTGTACCCCTTATACTTGATCCTTGCTTCTTCCATTGCCTGCTTGCTATTGGGGTTATAATAGTGAGACAGATTGCCTGTTAAGCTTGCAAGAAACGGCCTAAGTTGGTCAGGTAAAGTGTATCTGCTTCAGCAGAATCACAAGTTGGCATCTAAGAGTTATCATTCCAATGTAAATATATATTGATATCGAGTAATAATCTTTCCAATACTCTGTAAGTAACGACAAATAATGGAGGCCCATGGCAATTATCAATCTAGAAAAAATCTCCCTAAAGTCAATTGCCTGGTCCTGTCCCGGTCCTGTTCTGTGTATCTTCTGGTTCGCTTTTGCATCTAAAGCGCGTTTGAAATCATATCATAGGTGAGATATTAAAAACAAACAATAATATTGTCACGGCGTTACTTATCTCTATCCTTGGGTAAATGCGTTTAGGTCCTCCATATTTGCAAATTTGCGGATCGGTGAATTCTCTGATTTCCTGAGAAATATGGAACCATTTTTTGCCCAACAGAATTTGAAGCTGTTGGCTTCTTTGAACTTCTTTGCCTCATACAGAAGGGTTTGTAGACGAGGTGTCAGATGATCGTAAATATTGAGGTGACTCACATCAATCTCTGAAGAAAATCCTAGTTGCTGTGCTGTTATGTTCCTTATTGTCTTCCTAGATGCCATGATTTTTTCCTTTACCATCCTTCTAACAAATTTACAAACTACTGCGTCTGGTCGATTTGAGGGATTCCTTGATGGAACTCGGTGGGCAATGTCAATGTCATTTATCGAAACATCTTTCACTCCCATCTGATGAAATAGTTGAAGACACAGGTTAGCTGTCTGCTCGGTCGTCTCTTTTGCTGCCAGCAACGGTAGACCGATAACTTTGATGTTAAATTGGTAGCTGTACATTTCGAAGCCATCAATTGGCTGCGAGATTCTATCGCAAGCATCTGAAATTACATTTAGCCTTGAGCTTAAATGCTTCAGTTCTTTCGATGCGTACTTTTTAAACGCTTCAAAATCATTCTTTGCCTACAGTGTCGCCGCCATGTTCGATGTCAGCATCATGATTGATTTCTTCACGTCAATGTCCAATTTCCTCAGTCAATTTATCCAGTTGCTTCTTGAGATCTTCAATTTCATTCCTTAACTGCTGATTTTCTTTTTTTAGTTGGTTTTCTTTACCAGTCATAATTAGGGAAACTTAATAGAATAAAATAACACAGAGCGAGAAATATGTGTCCGCTCAGCTCAGCTCAGCGTCCGCTCTGGAGACATTTTTCATAACATCCTGACAGTAGCTGTAAACAACACTTGTAGGTGTTTTAAGTTTGTAGGTCTTTAAGTTTTTTCTAAATTGGACGATACGAAATTATTTTAAATGTCATGTGGTAAAGCATTCACAGTGTTGAGGCTGCCACAGAGAAGGATCTTGTACCATATGTTTTAAGTTGTACAGCAAAGCAAAAAATTGTTTAAATGATAATGTAATTAACCCAATGAAGAGTAGGGTGTAAGCATATTGTGTATGTACAATGGTGCTAAGTTGTTGAGTGTCTTGTTGGTTATGAATTAAATTTTAAAGTTATGCAATGATTTACTGGAAGCTGGAAAACATATTTGGCAAAGATTTAGGATGATTAACCAGTGTCCAGTGATTAATTTCATTTGCACTGCTCTTCATGTCAGACACAGCTAGATCCCCATCCCCAGGTATAGTTGGCTAGAAGGAGCAATAGAGGGGTGACATAAGTATAGAAATGATAGCTCAAATTGAATTTCCTTTTAATGTCTGAAAGTGGTGATGTGTAAAGAAGATATAAAATGGGTCCTAAAGCAGATCTTTGTGGTACTGCACATCCAAGATGATGTTTCACAGAGGTACCACCATTGACAGAAACATATTGCATAAGATCAGACAGGTACATGTAAGATTGTAACCATACTGGAGGCTTACAGTTATGCCAAAAATAAGAGAGCAGAATGCCATAATAAACAATATCAAAAACAGCAGATTAGTTACCAGTATCTCATTTCTCAAGCCACTCTTTGACCTTGTATAAGTTATGAGCCAAGCACAAGTACATCTATGATAATCTTTGTTGGCTTTCTTTTTAAGCTGAGGTAGCTTTTTGAACTTTAAATTTTTTAAGTCACAAATACAGGAATTAGCAGTGTTGGAATTAACTCTCTTGGAATCAGATAATTGGTCATTTAGCATTTGGTTCATCAAATGGAGGACTCTATGGCCATGGCTACATCTACAAGGTATGTCTTGATTATTCAATAAAACAGTGAGAGCTTTGACTCTGCCATCTTCTTCCAATAACACATGACATACCCTTCAATGGGA